AACGCGCATTGTAGCGAAGTACCCGTACTTCATCCGTATTTCTTTTGGGAGATGTAAGTTCCACTTGAGCAGCTTCTTCCCGCGAACCGCTGATCTGTGGAACTGACTCCCAAGAGGGTGTTTTCCCGATCACTACATTCCAAATGTTTGATAAGAAGTTTTGCAAGTGATAACGATCTTTCGCTTGACATAGCAAAAGTGACAAGCCAAGCCGTCCAAAATTACAAAAAGAAAAAAAAACTACAAATGTTTTGTTCAGTTGCTCTACATAAATATCACCATTATATGCACTGCCTTTATTTATAAGAGAGAAAAAAGATATCGTCTCCAAAATATCACCGTCTTTCTCTCTGATATTGTTGTATGAGAGTAAGTGGTGTTGGTGACACTGTGGTTTGAAACTAGATCGCCAGTGACTAACACGGGTGATTCCCTTATTGTTATGGTCCAGGTTAGGACCAAAGAAGAACAACACGAACACAAGAGTAGAAATAACGAAGGTATATTACACGAAATAATAATACAAGAATAGGAAGGTGTTAGTATGACTGTCAGTCTGGTTTGGAGTGAACTACTATCGGCTCGACTCGATTCGATATTTACTTATTTACTGATCTGTGGAACTGACTCCCAAGAGGATGTTTTCCCGATCACTACAATCCTAAAGTTGCGAAACTGTGATTTAAACTAGATCACCAGTGAGTAACATTGGTGATTCTATTACTAAGTAGATCATGTGCTCTTAAAGGAAATAAATATATAGGAAGTAGCGTGATGACTATACTATTCACTGTTCACTCTTCTTGTCTATCCACTATTGCTATACTTTCAATCTCTCTACTCTGTTACTATACGTATTAAATCTCTCTGGATCATTATACTATTTGGCGATTACTACTTGAACAAGTATTACTAGTGCGGATGTTATTAGAATGCATTACTCCTAGTACCCACGTCTATATATAACGAGTTTTTTTGGAAGTGATAACAAGCTTCCGCTTGACATAGCAAAAGTTACAAGCGAGGTTGTCCAACATCACAAAACCTAACCTGTTCAAATCTAGGATTAGCCGTTATCTCCCCCACCCCCAAATCCACATAAACTGTGCCTCTTACTCTGTAACCCTCCGTCTCGAGTGGCTCCCGAGCACTGAACAGAGTAAACATCACTAGAAAAAATCAAAAAAAATCTGATCAGCTAAATTTGCTAGTTCCACTGAAAACCCGTCATACCCTGCACACATAAGTGAACTATTCTTGTTCTCTTCGTATTCCATTTGTAATGAGGAAGTTAAATTCAGACAGCGTCTTTCAAAGAGTAGCAGATTTAATGAATGGATTTGTTTCATTGGCCTATGAACTGTAGATTATGAGGATATGTAGGATAGATAAGAGTTGACTCTAGATTTGAAGCATCGGGGGAAGCAATCAGTATCAACCGTAATCTATTTTTTATATTCTCATAATCTACATTTCTTACATCAATGAAACAAGCCCATACATAAGACCTCTACATTGATTGGCTCTTGGGCCTTTTTATTTTGTGAAAAATAGTATAAAATGAGTAAGGTGTTCATGAATGATTTTGTTGTGTAGGCATATTAGGAGGAATTAAGAAAAACATATGAAAGTATGTACATTTGTTTGTTTGTTTGTTTGTTTTACGGCATATCAGCCTCAATGCCGCTAATGTTTTACGGCATATCAACCTTAATGCCGACAAGATTTTTGTTGGTGGTAATATTTTTTTTTTAAAAATATATTCCTGGTAACATTTTTTCCTTCAAAAAATGTAAAATATTTCTTGCTGGTAATAATATTTTAAAAAATATTTCTGGTATTAAAAGCTATTTTTACACTTTCATAGTGGTTTGACCCCGTGTTTGGGGGTTAATTATTTGCCCATAGCTGGGACCCTACTAGGTGCTAACACCTGGGAACATCAGCAATTATGAGGCGGTTCCACGCTCCTCAAAACCTCCTGATCAGAAGAGTTGATGTTGGACGTAGTTGATTGTCTTACCCAGGACGCGGATGTAGTTTATCGTCATACCCAGGACTTCGATGTAGTTTATCCTCATACCCAGGACGCCGATGTAGTTTACTGTCATATCCAGGACGCGGATGTAGTTTATCGTCATACTCAGGACGCGGATGTAGTTTATCGACATACACAGGACGGAGGATATGTAGGATAGATAACACACGGTTGACTGTAGACTTGAAGAGGTTACGGTTATGGCGATCGGGAAAGTTGCTTTCCTGAGTCTGTTCCATGAAGTATCTGCACTGATGAAGAAGCTGTCTGACTGGAACTTCCTCTTTACTTGTTGAATACGAAATGACTGTGTTATGGGACCTTACCCATAATAATAATAATAATGGACTATTCCATATTTAATAAATACTGCGGCTCAGCAGTAGTCCAAGTTGTCAGTAGTTCAAGTTTTGAACCGACTGCACGGTTGTACTCTCTTCCTACGGGCGGGAGGAACCCGAAGGAGGCTACGCCGAAGGGCGGAGTCTCCTTCGGGGAGGTTAAACCGGCCCTGAACCCGTTTATACGGGTTCAAATGGGCTATTTTTTGGCCGAGCCTAATGGCTCGGGAATGCCCACGTTAAAAAGGCCTTGTGCCACATGACACCCTCGTGGGGGGGGTGACTGAATATTGTCATAGTTCAAGTTTTGAACCGACTGCACGGTTGTACTCTCTTCCTACGGGCGGGAGGAACCCGAAGGAGGCTACGCCGAAGGGCGGAGTCTCCTTCGGGGAGGTTAAACCGGCCCTGGACCCGTTCATACGGGTTCAAATGGGCTATTTTTTTTTGCCGAGCCTAATGGCTCGGGAATGCCCACGTTAAAAGGCCTTGTGCCACATGACACCCTCGTGGGGGGTGACTGAATATCGTCAGTAGTTCAAGCTTTGAACCGACTGCACGGTTGTACTCTCTTCCTACGGACGGGAGGAACCCGAAGGAGGCTACGCCGAAGGGCGGAGTCTCCTTCGGGAGGTAAACTGGCCCTGAACCCGTTTATACGGGTTCAAATGGGCTATTTTTGCCGAGCCTAATGGCTCGGGAATTCCCACGTTAAAAAGGCCTTTGTGCCACATGACACCCTCGTGGGGGTGACTCAATATCGTCAGTTGTTCACTTTTGAACCGACTGCACGGTTAAACTCTCTTCCTACGGGCGGAGGAACCCGAAGGAGGCTACGCCGAAGGGCGGAGTCTCCTTCGGGGAGGTAAAACCGGCCCTGGACCCGTTCATACGGGTTCAAATGGGCTATTTTTTTTGGCCGAGCCTAATGGCTCGGGAATGCCCACGTTAAAAGGCCTTGTGCCACATGACACCCTCGTGGGGGGTGACTGAATATCGTCAGTTGTTCACTTTTGAACAGACTGATTGGTTTGAACTCTCTTCCTACGGGCGGGAGGAACCCGAAGAAGGCAACGCCGAAGGGCGGCGTCTCCTTCGGGGAGGTAAAACCGGCCCAGAACCCGTTTATATGGGTTCAAATGGGCTATTTTTTGGCCGAGCCTAATGGCTCGGGAATGCCCACGTTAAAAAGGCCTTATGCCACATGACACCCTCGTGGGGGGGTGACTGAATATCGTCAGTTGTTCACTTTTGAACAGACTGCTTGGTTTGAACTCTCTTCCTACGGGCGGGAGGAACCCGAAGGAGGCTCCGCCGAAGGGCGGAGTCTCCTTCGGGAGGTAAAACCGGCCCTGAACCCGTTTATACGGGTTCAAATGGGTATTTTTGGCCGAGCCTAATGGCTCGGGAATACCCACGTTAAAAAAGGCCTTGTGTCACATGACACCCTCGTGGGGGGGGTGACTGAATAGCGTCAGTCGTTCAAGTCTGAACCGACTGTTCGGTTCAACTCTCTTCCTACGGGCAGGGAGGAACCCGAAGGAGGCTACGCCGAAGGGCGGAGTCTCCTTCGGGGAGGTAAAACCGGCCCTGAACCCGTTTATACGGGTTCAAATGGGCCACCCACGGCCGAGCCTAATGGCTCCGGAATGCCCACGTTAAAAAGGCCTTTGTGCCACATGACACCCTCGTGGGGGGGTGACTGAATATCGTCAATAGTTCAAGTCGAGTCAGTAGTTCAAGTCGAGTCAAGAGTTGAGTCAGAGGCAGTCCGAAACTGAGTCGCGTTCAGACAATTACTGCAAGACATTGGAATAGTGATACTGGTCGAGACTACATTGTTCTCTCTACTAAACCTGATTGTTCATACTAACTACTTCTCTGTATATATTTCTGTTTGTAATATATCTGTGTTATTCCATACCTGTGTTCGAGTTCTTCTTATTTGGTTCAACCTTGGACTATCACCGTGGTACAAGGAACCGGACCATAACAGAATGAGGATGAATCAAACCTGTGTACGTGGCATGGCGCTTCCTGGATATGAATGCCTGAACTTGAGGAACTAAAGAATGTCGATCGCCTGAACATCTGGCAAGAAAATAGATTAAAAGAGACCAGCAACGATTTGTCTTTGAGAAAGGGGTCTGTAAGGGATGGGGGAATAATTAATCACCCACAAGGCTGCGTACGTACTTTTGAAGCTTTTTCAAGCTTGGAAAGGGAAGACTGGTTAGCTCTAGGCCAGATATTATAATAACACTTCATTTTCGGCTCTAATTTGCGTTTAATATAAATTCGTTGTTGGGCCAAAAATGTTTAATCATCATTTACAGATGAATGCATTCCAGAGTCAACGGTTCAGACTACCAAATTATTGCAAGATTTGCAAAAAAAATCTAGCCATTTTTGTATTCAGTAATAATAGCGGAATTCGCACGGGACTGAGATATTAATCGCCTTCAAAAAAGAATCAAGTTATTTTCACTATAATATGTAGTTGCTGTTGTCGCCTTTGCTTTTGGTACCGAAGATAAT